CTTGTGACCGGCCAAGGCCATGGGCCCAGCACTCTGCATTTTTTGTGAAAGGCCTGTAACATGCAGGCAGCTCCTTCCTTGCATGGTTTTTCTGATTCTCATCACCATCCTCTGTGGATTATCTGCCCCATTGTTTAGATGAGCTGTGGATCCAAGGTCATTGAGCCAGTGAGGACTCTGGAAGGCCAAAGCAGCTCTTCCATTCCTGGTGGCCATACTGTCCCCACTGCTGGGGACAGTCTCTGGTGAGACTGGACTGTGAATTGGAGACAAATGTTCCTGGTGTGGTACTGCTGGGAAAATGGCACAACTTGATGCTTTCATAATCACCATAATTTTAAAGACTTGCTCAAAGAGGGCTCCCAGAGTAGTAGACATTAAGGAATTTCACTGTCAGTTGCACCTGCTGCTTGAAATGAGCACTTGTCATGTAGTCCAGAGGAAGCCACTAATGATTACACCCATTTCACCTTTTAAAATTATAGTATTGCATTAGAGAATAAGTATGTCTGTATTAAGTTATATTAAGATGAGTCATGTACTGTGATTATAGCAATCTTTATATGTAATACTTCATTTATCCCTATAATACAAAAATCAGAAAAGTACAATATAGCTCCCACCGAAGAGTACACATAACTAACCCTGACTGGTGTGGCTCAGTTGGTTGGGCATTGTTCAGCAAAGCAAGATGTTTCTGGTTTGATTCCCAGTCAGGGCACATGCCTAGGTTGTGGGTTCAGTCTCCCCTGCTGGTGGGTATGAGAGGCAGCCAACTGATGTTTCTCTCCCTCTCTCTAATAAGTAAATAAATATTTTTTAAGAAGAGTACATATACTAGTCTATAAAAGTTTTTTTAAGTTTACTTTTTAAAAATAAAAGTAAAATGCAAGATTTTCAGGTTAATATTGATTCCACCTGATTTCAGGATTCGCTGTTAACTATCCTACATCGTTATATTTAAAAAGTGAGTAATTCTAGGTACCCCTGAGCCAAACAATTTGTGAAGGAAGACAAGATAAACTACTATCCCTTGTATCATTGAAGAAGGTATTGTTCTAAGCTGAATTTAATTAAGCCAGTCAGTGTTTCCTAGCCCTGAGCTGTTGTGATTCGATTAGGGATAGACGTGTTGTATAAACAGGTGATACATAGAGGAATGCAGTCTCCTCACCATTGAGCAGAAGCTATCAAAAGAGTCATTCCTTGTGTGGATGTGCAGAGGGAAGATGTGAGCTTGGAGCTGCTGCTACAGGAGTGCTCTAGCTTGAGGGTGAAGCAACCACAGGAAGAAGAAGGAGAAAAAAGGAAAGCTGATAGCCCTGGTGACAACCTCTGGATCAAACTGTTCCTGAAGCTCACTTACCTTTGAATTTTTTTAAAGGTATGGCACCCACTAAATGCAGTTTTGGGTTAAGCCCATTTCAGCTGGGTTCTCTGCTACTTGGACCAAAAGATTAACTGTTATCCTCCATGTAGAGATAAAGAAGCTTTATAGTTTGCCTACTCATCATAGGCTTTCGAGCACCAGGACTACCTTCTGAACCACTGGTGTTACGAATAAAGACTATGTCATCTGGATAGCTGACAGATTTCCTGAGCATGTGCAAGCTCTATATGTCAAGAGGAGATTACATGGGAGCCTATGTGAGCACCTCAGGCTTAACTTTCAGGAATGACCCCAGTAGGATGAGACTCCAGGTTATCAATATATTCCTCCTCAAAAGAACTTCTATAGCAGTCAGGATGTTTCACAGCATTGGCACAGGCCTCTCATGCAGACCGTTCCTTGGAACCGTTCATTCATTCACTCCTGCTTTCTCACTACATTCTGACCACACCATCTGAGCCTGCTTCTCTTTCAAAGGCTTTGCACTTGCCCTACTTTCTTCACACTATTTTCCCAGGACCTCACAGAGAGGCTTCCTCATTTTCACCTCTCCCCCAAAGCTCAATCTTGCCTCCAGCAATCTCTATACCTTACCCTGTCTTATTTTCCTTTTTATACTACCTGAGAAATATTCTATGCTTGTTCATGTTCTTCCTCCTCCCCTGGAATATAATAAACTCTATTGACCCAGGATTTAATCTCTTTTGTTCACTAGAGTAATATCAAATAAGTTAAAGAGCGCTGGAGTTTGAAGTAAAGAAACCTAACATTTATACTGAGTGTCTGCTATGTGCTGGAGGCACCAGAGACATGCTCACTAAGTAATTATTGACATTCCTATTTTTCAGAAGAGAAAACAAGTTCTGAGAAGTTAAACAATTTTGCACAAGAACATCCAGTTATTGAGGGGGCACAGCCATGAAACAGACTCCCAAGCCATGTGCTATTGGTTAATTAGGTAAACTTTCCAGCTGCAGCCACAGGCTATGGTGGGAAACACACAAGACAATAACGAATTTGCACGTGCTTTGCAAACTACAAATGCCAGCACTCCTGGATTCCATTTACTGGGTATCTCCATGTGCCAGATGTTTGGCGCGTATTATCACACTGAAGTCTCAGAACAACTCTTCCAAGGAAGTATTTTTCCAGTATTTCCGTTTTGCAGATGAGGAAATGGGCTCAAAGAGAAGAGATTTGCTCAAGGTCACAGAGTAACAGCACAGATTTGAATCCTGGGTGGTCGTATGCAAGAAAATTAGAGGCTGGGGCATAAAGGCCACTACCTGAGAAACATCTATCCGGTCTCCCAAAGATGGACACACTGGTCCTTCTAACCTACCTTCACTGCACCCCAAATACCTCTGGGGTGAACATCATTGTGCATGTGCCTTTACAGAACTGAAAGTGTTTGGGATATGACCCCAGGACCAGAATTATGAAGTCAAAAGGTTGTAGATACTTTGCCAGGCTTGGGGCTTAATATCTGCTCCAGATGTATCTGGCTCCTCTCTCCCTCTCCTGGGATAGGCCCACATCCCAGTGTGAGGCCCACTCTGCCCCTCTCAGGAGCTGGGACTGAGTCTACCACTCTGTCTGGAGCCACTGGAGGAAAGGAAAATTCTCCCAGACTGAGGATTTAAGACCAAAATAGCCTGTGCCCACTCCCATGTCTGCAATTGCCCTGTTTATGGAAAACCAGAAGCCTATGGAATGTGAAGACTGTACAGCAAAGTCTTCAAGAATGTCTGGGCCACGAGGCATCAAGGAGATAAATGGTGAAATCACTGAGTTTTTAAGAACCTGCTCCCACTTAGGGCTTTCTTTGAGCCCCTCAGCAGCCTGCCTGACCCAGGCCCTGCAGACCAGGACTGGCTCTCTCAGTTCCTTCCTGTCTCTGGGCCTGTCACCCTTACAGGTCTACAGCAGAGTGTCAGGTGACAACATAGTACTGGATTTAAGCAAGGAGCTATCATTATGGCTCCAAGTGTTGACAATCTCTGGGGTCAGAAGTAGGCTGCTGGGAGCTAAGTTTATGTAGATGCAATTGGCTCATCCCTCTCAATATAAGCTGTTGGTAAGAGCTAGGTTCAAATCCTGACTCTGCCACAAGGTAGTTCTAGGACCATAGGCAGCTGACTTCACTTCCCTGCACCTCAGTTTTCTTAACTGTAAAATGGGACTAATAATAATATCTACCTTGTTGCTAAAAGATTACAAGTGCTGGAACCAATTTGGAAAACAGTTTGCCAGTTTCTCAAAAGGTTTAATCCAAGTTACCATGTGACCCAGAAATTTCCACTCCTAGGTATGTGGCCAAGAGAAACAAAAATATTTTCCCACAAAAGTTTGCACCTCAATGTTCATGCCAGCATTATTCAAAATAACCCCAAAATGGAAACAACCAAAATTACGATCACTGACAAATGGATAACAAAATGCGGTCTATTTAGATGATGGAATATATTATTCAGCTGTGAAAAGGAATGAAGTAGTAGTATATGCTAGAACATGAATGAACCTTGAAAACACTATGCTAAGTGAAATAAGTGAAACACACAAAGGGCATATATTATATAGTTCCATCTATATAAGATGTCCAGAAAAGGCAAATCTATAGAGGCAGAAAGCAGATTAGTAGTTGCCAGGGACAAGGGAGGAAGGTTGGGGAGTGACAGCTAAGGGGTAGGAGTTTCTTTCTGGAGTGATGAAAATGTTTTAAAATTACTTCATGGTGATTATAGCCCTGGCTGATGTGACTCAGTGGATTGAGGGCTGGCCTGTGAACCAGAGTCGCCATTTGGATTCCCAGTCAGGGCACATGCCTGGGTTGTGGGCCAGGTTCCCCAGTAGGGGGTGCACAAGAGGCAACACACATTGATGCTCTCTCCCACCCTTCCCCTTCATCTAAAAAGAAAATAAAATCTTTTTTAAAAACATTGAATTATACACTTTGAATGGGTGATTTTTATGGTATGTTGATTATATCTCAAAGCTGTTGGGGGGAAAAGATTACAAGAAAAGGTAGGTAGAACTTAGGACAGTGCATGGTTCAATAAACATTGGTTGTCATTCTTATCAGGTCTCCCACCAGCTAACTTAAAACTCCAGAAGCAGGCAGCAAGGGGAAAGGCTGTCGAACTTCTAGCTCCGCCTGAGTTTTTAAGCCACTGTGTCCCTGGGCTTGTCCTCAAACCCATCCTGTATTTCCTCAGAGATCCTCATAAATGAACGGATGTAATAATCCTCACCCACGTCCTTGGGGTCTCGAGAGGAGCCAGGGCTCGGGAGGAATTTGAGCGAACCTCAGCGGAATCCTGCCCGTGCTCCGTTACAGTGACAGGCCTGGCTCCAGCCAACCCGGAAAGGCCAGAAGTGTGCTTTCAGGTAAGCTTACGTGATTGGCAGCCCGAGCGGGGAGGGCTCTGGGTGACGGCTGCCCCGCCTCCTCACGTCGGGCTGGTTGGCGCCACCACGGGGAAGGTGGGCGGGCCTCGAGATCCGCGTTGCCCATTGGGGGTCGGGGGAGAGGGAGCTCTGGTGGACCTAGGGCCCCGCCCCTGGCCTTGAGGCGGCCAATGGGTGCGGGGCGTGGGCGGGGCGTCGGCGGCGTCGGTGGCTGGGGCGGCTGAGGCAGCTGAGGTGGCTGAGGTGGCCGCTAAGGCGCGGCCGGGATGGCGAAGAGCCCTGGAGAGAATGGGCCGTGCTCGCCCGCGGCCGGAGGAAGCCTGTCAGGGACCCGGGAGAGCCTGTCCCCGGGCCCAGACGCGGTAGCCTCCGATGAGCTCAGTTCTCTCGGCTCGGACTCGGAGGCCAACGGTTTCGCCGAGCGCCGCATCGACAAGTTCGGCTTCATAGTGGGCTCGCAGGGCGCCGAGGGCGCGTGAGTAGCACCGGCACTTGGGGCCGGGGGTCGGGGGTCGGGAGGCGGGCGCGGGACCCGCCTGGGGGGCGGCCCTGGGCCCGGACAGAGCCCCTCAGGACAGACCGACATGTCACCCTCCAACCAGGAACAACCTACCAGGTTTCTCCGCTACCCCACCCCCACCATCCCCTTAGGCAAACTGACCCGCCCCACACCCGGGAGCCTAGGAGCGATGGAGGGACAGACAAGAATCCCACCTCCCCCGTTCTGCCCCCCCCCCACTGCACCCCCCACCCCTGAAACGTCCGACAATGCTCTCCTCTCAGCTTCAGGACAGATACTTGTCCCAACATCACTGTTGCCACCCTGGCCTTAGGGCTAATAGACTTGACCACCCCCTCAGGCTCATTGATGGCTGTCCCTTCCCCAACAGATATTTTCAGTGCCTGACCCCGCAAGACCCACAGACACCCCTGTCACACCACCTCACTACCCCCTCCCCTGGGGAACACTTTAGGTGGGGTTCAAAGGGACAGACTGTCCTGCCCCCATCTCACTCCAGTACAGAAACAGAGACCTCTGGGTGGATTGACATTGGTCACTTAGAGTACAGACATTTCCACTCTGGGACAGACAGCTTCTTCCTCTCACAGAAGGGTCCAAGTGTGCTCCTCTTCCCACTCAGAGTCAGATTTCTTCCTGTCACTGGCAACCAGTGGGCAGAAAATCCCCTCTGCTGGTGCCCACATGGTGACAGTGCCTCACCTCCAGGACAGAGTGTTGGCTGACTCTGTGTATGCAGTGGAAATGTGCGCTGCCTCTTCAAACCCAGACTTGGGGGGAGCAGGCAGGGAGACAGCAGGATCCAATCCTCCACCCCAGAGCACCCAGGCACCCAGCTGTCAGGCAGAGAAATGGGAGACTCGACTCCATTCTTACCCCAGCTGTCCTGTGACATGAGACCAGTGTTCTGCACAGAACTGACAAGCCTCCCCATGATGTGCCTTCCCTTCGACAGAGTAGCTCCATACAGTCACCTGTGGGAGCCTACAGCACTGCTGAGTGCCATCGCCCTACTCCAGGGGGTCCTTCTTCCCCTTCTCTGACCAGTTGTGACTGCCCAAGGCTCCTGAACCCTCTTATGACTTATGGAAGTGTAAGAACCCCACACCACATAAGCAGGTCCATTAAGGTCACTTCTGGGGTTTTCTCCAAGCAAAAGCTACATATGCACCAGGCCTCCTTCTCCTTTGGAGTATTGTAGGTTCCTCCCCTAAGGAGAGTTCTGTCCTACCCATTGGATCTGTCTCTTCTGACCTCTTTCCATTTGCTCACACCAGGCTAAGCCTAGTCCAGTCCAGGACTCATAGAACACCCCTATAGTCTGCTTCCTTATCCTGATTTGATGCTTTGTCACAGTTCCCTAGGGATTACTTTGTGAGAACCCAAAAGGGATTTAAGGTGTGTATGTGTGTGTGTGTGTGTGTGTGTGTATATATATATATATATATATATATATTTAAAATATTTTATTTATTTATCTTTAGAGGGGAAGGGAAGGAGAGAGGGAGAGAAATATCAATGCATGGTTGCTTCTTGTGCATCCCCTGCTGGGAACTGGCCTGCAACCCAGGCATGTGCCCTAACTGGGAATTGAACAGTGAGTGTCTGGTTCACAGGTTCATGCTCAGTCCACTGAGCCACACCAGCCAGGGCTAAGGTATATTTTTGAACTGAGGAATAGTTACCAAGGACCATGGCCCTGGGAGGGATAGGGTCCGGAGAAGTAGGAAAGGAGTTTCCACTTGTATTTGTGAGTTTTTGGCAGGATGAGCTCAGATTTGCTGGTGAATTCTAGGAGGTGAGAATTCCTACTACATGTTTATTAGGCAGTTAACCAGATCTTAGGGTACAGAGCAGTGTGATATAGTGGGGAAAAGCCAGGTTTAGGAAGAACTCACACTTGCTGGCTGTGTGACCTTGGGCAAGATCCTGAGTCTCTGAGCCTTGTTTATTCACTGTAAAGGGCAACAGTAATACCTATTCCCAAGATTAATGTGGGGATTAAATGAGATTAGGTATGTGAAGGTGCCTAGCACAAGTGGTGGCCTAGAAAAATGTTAGTTTTCTTTCTTTTCCTTCCAAGGCTCTGAAAATTGAGGAGAAAAATGAGGGCGTACCTCTGGTATTTGTGGATAGAGAGAGGCCCCAGAAGGAGCACCTCCCTTTGGCTGTAGTCCCCAATCAGGACGCCAGACATCTGTCTTCCCCACCCTCCAACCACAAACCCGGACTTTGCAGACACTCTCTGCATCACTGGTGTCTGTAAGCCTGGGGCTGAGGTGGGATCCCAGCTCTCCTCCTCTCTCCCTGCCTTACTTTCTTGACCCTGCTGGTCAAACTAAAATCTCCGGTGTCTGAGTGCTTTGATGTTCGCTGCTTTGTTTATATTGTGGTTTCAAAAAAGCCAAAAGTAAGTCCCTGCCCACAGCCATAAGAGGGGAAGTTATGGGAAGTTTCAGGGTGACTGCCTTGAAACCAGTCTCGTGGTTGAGGGCTAGGAGTCCATGTGCTGTCCCAGAGAAGTGAAACATTAACACCGATGGCTGCAGTGGAGATGGTGGGAACTCTGGCTCCAGATTAAAGATCCATTTCAGCTGTCCCAGACCAAAGGTTGTCTCAAGTGGGTAAGTTTAGGCTGTTGCCAGGGACTAGGGGGGTGGGGAAGAAAGCAGGTCAGAGGCTACCCTGCTTGGGTGACTGTTAGATAACTGGCATGAATAGATGTTAAAATCATAGATTGTTTGAGCTGGATGGGATCTTAAGATTGATCAGCTTAGCCCTTACTTATACAGATGAAGAAAATGAGGCTCAGAGAGAATTGTAACTTGCTTAAGGTCACACAGCATATTAGCAGCAGAACCAGGACTTGAACTAGGAGTTTTTTACTGCCAGGTCAGGATAGTTTTCATTGCCTTCACCATCCCTTAGTATGGCCTCTGGTCCTAGCAGAAAATTAGGTACCAGGCAGGTAGAACATAGGGTTCATAGCAGGAACCTGCCTGCCCTCACATTCCCTGGCTCAGCTCAGCACTTTTGACTCCCTCAGCAGAGTAGGAGGCTAACAGCAACGACCCAGGAAGAGTAAGAGTGTGTTGTTATTACCAGTTCATTATACTGATCAGCTTTAGGGCTGGCACTAGATGTGTTCACCTTTTCTCCTCAGGCCTGCAGCAGAGTAAATGCTCAGTTAATATTTATTTATTGAATGACATATACTGATAGACATTTCAAGTCAGAAAGCTGAAAGTGATCTTAGAGATGGCCATCATCATACAGATTGGTAAACTCAGGCCTGGGAGAAGTGATTAGTCTTACCTCTTTAGTCTGTTAGGAGCAACATCAGAATTGAACCCTGAACTCCTGATTCCTAGCCCTAGGCCAGTCTACTTCACCGTGTCTGTCATTTGAACCTGCTCTGCCAGGAAACTTTGGTAGAAGTACCTGCTCTTGAGCAGTAGCAAGTGGGGAAAGGCAAGAAAGCAGCCGGTCAGCAAAGGGCCCTGTGGGTGGCATAGACACAGACAGGAGCTGGCAGCCTTAGTTCTTTTGGCTTGGCTGGGAACTGAAATGGTTGTTGAAGCCCAGGAAGGACCAGAGAGGGGAAAGTGCCCTCAGTAGGGAAGAGTGGGAGGAGTAATGTTACTATTTCTATAACTTTGGGGGTAGGAAGAATAGACTTTTTTTGGGGGGGGGGGCAGGGGGCTGTTTGCAGCATAGGGGAGGGAAAGAAAGATACAGATACCGAATCTCCTGGCCTGAGAGAGGTGGGTCCCTGATCTCCTTCTCCTTTTCCCATGTGATTGCCAGGACTGGCCTCCTGAGGCTGGAGCTTTTCACCCAGCTTCCGTCTGCTTAGTACAGCAGGCCAGATGAGGTGAGGAGCTATGCTGTCTGGGATCCCATGGGTGTTGGCTTCCTGTTAGGGGAGAGAGGGAACTGAATTGGGCCCAGGGAGAAACATCTGGAACAGCAATATTGTCTTCTGCTGATTCAGTTCTCCTTTCCCCTGGGCCCTCCACTACTCCTAGCCAACTATGGAAGCCCTGTGACTTTGTAAATCATAGAATTGGCTTAATTGGCATCCTTGTAGTTTGCTCTGTGCCAGTTTTTGTTGGGGTATGGCCAGGGTTCTCCTGGCAGGCCACAGCCTGCCTCCCTGCCTTACCATTACCTTCTCTAGTTTATAAGCTCAGAGCATCCTATTTTCTTAAACTATTACAGTTCCCAGGAGTGCCTGGAGCTGTCAATAGAATGTTCCCTGGGTGGCCCATCTGGAAGGAGGCAGCTTCATATGTGGGGCCCTGTTCTGTGATTCTAGACCATAGGCCCTCCATTTTCTCTCCTCCTTCCCTTCCTTCAGCTTCAAAGGAAAATCCGGTTTGGTGGCCCTGTGAGTGTGTTCTAGAGCCTCAGACAAGACTTGACTTGGTGAAGGAGGGGGCCAGTGCATCAGCGGCTTGCCCTGGGAAGGTGCCTGTGTGTCCGCCTGTTAGGAAATCCTAAGCTGTGGGAAAGAGATAAGGTGGTGGGGCCTGCTTGATGTTTTGTCCTCCTAGCATCTGCATCTGAAATAAAACCTCTGAAGAGCCAGTGAGGCCTGGCTCTGGTCCAGCCACCCAATCTGTTTACACTAAGGTAGAGGAAAGAAGGTGCTCTGTGCTCCTTCCTCATACAAGCTCTGGAGTCCGGCTGTCTGTGTGACCTTAGACATGTTGCTTCACTTTTCTGAGCCTGTTTCTCACTAAATGGTTTTTTTTTTTTTCCTACTGCTGGGGTCATGTGTTCCCAGGGTGCAGCACGGCGCGCTCAACTTGGCCTCTGCGAGAGCCGGCCCCAATAGGGGGTCAGCGGGGGCACAGAACCCCACGCTGCCCCAGGTGAAATGGTTATTATAATACTGATTTTGCAAGGTTTTTGTGAAGCTTAAATGAGTCGATGTTTGAAAAGAGCCTGGC